TAAATCAAAGTTGTTTATTAATATACAAAATTAAATTCTAAAAAAACATGTGTTTATATTTTGTAAAATATTTATACACTATTTAATTTAAAATTTATTTGTATATTTAAAGTTGATTACATAGAGAAAAAATACTAACGTGCATTAAATATTTTTTATTAAATAAAATAAAAAGAAAAAGAAGACGTACAACTTCTATAACCTTTATAAATATTAATTATATTATATGTCAACAAAGTTTATAATAAAATAATAATTAAGTATTATATGGTGAACAAGAATAAGTAAAATTGTTACTGATATATGATATTATACTACACCCGGTTTAATGGAGAAAGCGAATACATATTGGAGGATAAGCTTACTAAGACATCTAAGCATAACGATATGGGCCAAGCCCAACTTGGGCCCAATCCCCCTATAAAAGGGGGCAAAGGTATCTCATTCTCTCTATTATCTACTCATTCCATACTACACACTCTCTCTCTCTTGATCTGAGCACTGACTTAGGCATCGGAGGCCCGACGCCGGGGCCACCCCCGGCATTGGGTTCTGCAGGTACGGAAGCCGTTCGAGTCGAAAGAGTCGGGTGAAATTCATTACACTCGTATTATTGGCGCCGTCTGTGGGACCCGTCAAAAAGTCAAGCGGAGTTCCGACTGAAAAATTAAAAAACCTCCTTCTTCTCCACCGGCCGTCGCCACCGCCGGCCGCCACCTCCGCCGCCGGCCGCCGGAAAATGTGCTCCGATCGAAAAATCGTTTACATCATTAGAAAGATCTCTTCGAGGTGAATCAACCCTTAAAATTTCATGCAAAAATTTTTTCGAGAAGACCTTCAATTTCGTGGTCAAAGATTTCAGATCTAGGGAAAAATTGGTTAAAATCGAGCATTCAAATGCATTTTTTCGACGATCCGAGAAGGCTATAAAAAATCCGAGGGTACCACCGGAATCCTCTCGCCGAGGCGAAGCTCCAGCTACCGACCATTACCGGGCGCCGCCGGCCGCCGCCCAAAGTTGTCCGATCTGAAAAAGGCTTACGCCATCGCGAAGCTCTCGTCAAGTTGTTCTACCCTTAAAATTTCGAGCAAAAATTCCTTCGGGAAGGGCATCAATTTTGCGGTCAAAATATTTGGCTCTAGAGTGTTTTTGGCCAACACCGGCCATCTTCTTCAATTTTTCCATCGACTTCTGGCGATTCGCGCTTAGCTGAGGACGCCATTGGAACCGCCTTGTCAAG